GCTGAGCAAGAAGATCACAGCTCCCTCGCTGCCTACTTTGCGAGTCTGCCTGCCTCCCTGTATGCCTGCTCGCAACCTTATCTGCCTGTCTGCTCAGCAGCCCCACTGGACCCCAGGTGAATAATCCTCCTTACTGTTGGGAAAGCTGGGTGGATTTAAAAATAAAAATAACAATAATTTGTGAGTGTTTGGGGAAAATGTGTGTGTGTGTGTGTGTGTGTGTGTTTGTCAGTGAATGAGTATGTTTGTCAGTGAATGTGTGTGTGTTTGTTGGTCTGTCAGCGAATGTGTGTGTCTGTGAGTGAATGTGTGTGTGTGTGTGTCAGTGAGTTTGTCTGTCAGTAAATGCTTTTGTGTGTATCTGTGAATGTGTGTTTATGTCAGTGTCTGTCAATCAGTAAATGTGGGTTTGTGGGTGTCTGTGAGTGTCTGTCAGGGAGTGAGTGTCTGTCAGTGCATGTGGGTGTGTCTGAGTGAGTGTGCGTGCCTGTCAGTGTGTGTGCGCGTCTCTCAGTGTGTGTCTGTGTGTGTGTGTGTGTGAGAGTGATTGTGTGTGTCAGATTGTATCAAATCAGTGAGTGTGTGTGTGTATGTCAGTGTATCTGAGAGTGTGTGCTTGTCCGTGAGTGGGTGTGTCAGTGTGTGTCTGTCAGTCAAAATGTGTGTTAGTCTTTAACATGAAGAGGTGTCACCTTGGCAGGAAGGTGTGGGGCAAATTTAAATTAGGGGGTTCCTGAGTTCCTCATGCCTAGGGCAGCACAAATCCAAAATACACCACTGGAAAACATTAAATACGCTCCGTACATAGTTTGAGACCTGTGATAAACTTAAATGCTGTAAATGCAGGTTCACACCATAACATAGTTTGCGTCAGTGAGAGGCTGAGCGTGTAAACTGAGCACTATCAATCAATCACTGTCCTAATCTCTGGTATGGCGTGAGCAGGGCCGGTGCTAGGATTTTTGACTTCACAGGCGAAGATGCATTTTGACGCGCCCCCCCAAAAAAAAATAAACAATGCACAAATACGCAAACATACAGACACACAACCATACAAGCACACAGACATAATTTTTCAGGCACACAGTCACAAAGATATACAGACACACAGTCATAAAAGGCACACAAACAAACACAGTCATACAATCTACACATACAGGTACATTGTCATACAAACACAGACATACATTCATACAGACACAGGCACTCACAGAAATACAGACACAGACATAAAGAAACATAGAGATAGGCATACAGAGACATACATACACAGACAAACAAAGAACCCTGCACACTGATACCGTGTAAATGCTCCGGCCATCAACAGTGGTGGATGCTCCGTGTCAGGCGGACATCGCTGGATCCACCAGTAAAGTCTTCAAAAGGAATAAACGCAGGCAACACTCCAATAGTAAGGATGGTATATTTATTGGTAGGTGAACCACCCCATAGAAAGTGTGATGTTTCAGCTCATGCAATAAGGCTCTGCTGAGCCGAAACGAACGCACTTTCTTTGGGGTGGTTCACCTATCAATAAATATACCATCCTTACTATTGGAGTGTTGCCTGCGTTTATTCCTTTTGAATACATACACACAGTCATACAGAGACATACATACTGTATGTCTCTGTATGACGGTCTGTGTATGTACACAGGATGGCTAAAAGATAGATCCCCATCTGTCGTGCAACTTCAACAATGCTTTGAAAGCTGGGGCTCTACCGATTCCCCATGCTTGCAGGATTGTATTTAGCATGGAGCAGTATTTGTGTGTTTGACTGTAAGCATGTGTTTGTATGGAGTATGTTTGTATGATTGTAGCGGTGTGTTTGTATGTAGTGTTTGCATTTGAATGCAAGCATGCATTTATGTGTAGTGTTGGTTTTTGAACGTAGGTGTGTGTTTATATATAATTTTGGTGTCTGATACAGAGGTGTGTTTGTATGTAGTGTTGACATTTGAATGCAGGGGTGTGTTTGTATGTAGTGTTGACGTTTGCATGCAGGTGTTTATTTGTGTGTAGTGTTGGTGTTTGAATGCTGAGATATATGCACATATACACATACACTGCCACACACGCACACACTGTGATACACATACACAAAGATACACACACTGACACACATGCAGATATACATATACACAAACTGATACACATTCAGATAGACAGACACACAGATACACACAAACACTGACAGACATACAGATAAACACACACTGACATACAGACACACAGACATACACACATACAGATAGATAGACATACAGACACACACACACACACAGACAGAGATACACACACACACACTGACAGACATTTAGATACACACAGACACACGGACAGAGACATAAACATACACACACACACACTGACAGACATAGATACACACACTGACAGACATATACACACACACTGACAGACATAGATACACACACACACTGACAGACATATATACACACACTGACAGACATAGATACACACACACACTGACAGACATACAGATACACACATACACAATGATAGACATACACAAAGACACACTAACAGACAGACATACACACACACTGACAGACATGACAGACATTAGATACACACAGACAGACATGGATACACACACACTGACAGACATAGATACACACACACACTGACAGACATGGATACACACACACTGACAGACATGGATACACACACAGGACCAACAGGTTCAGGAGGGTGGCTTACCTGGGATCCAAGTGCTGCCTGAGGTAGTTGGGAGTTGGAGGAGCTGGTCCTGCCCAGCCCCCCTCCTCTCTGCCTTCTGCTGCTCTAGTCTTCTTGGGAGGACTTCCTCCCATGCTGACAAAAAGTGGGCCGGTGGTAGCTCCGCCCCTGCTGGACACCAGCCGCACTGTGTGCTACAGAGGGAGCAGGGATATGACGTTCATATCCCCGCCCCCTCCACACAGTCCGCGGCACTGCAGGTTGGCGCTCGGCCACGCTCCAAGAAGTGACTGGCAGGAGAGGGGCGCTGTGCGCTTCCCTCCTGACGGTCACCCGGACATTTGCGCCCCCGGGCCGGTGCGCCCTAAGGCGGCCGCCTGTGCCACCTTATGGACGCGCCTGCCCTGGGCGTGAGATGGAAGCATAGTTCTGTCTCCTCTGCATCATCATTGGAGGCCGGGTTCCTGGGGACCAACCTGCTTTGCTAATTGGTGAGAAAACCATTTAGTAGTGACAAGGATCCTGGCACCCACGGTCTCCAGGCAACATAACCACTTAGATACATAGAAATTATTATGGTTGTTGTTTTTGGGGACCCTGCTGGGCCCTGCCACTTTCTAAATCGATATTGCAGTAGCTCTAACTTGGGTTTACCCTCCGACTGGCGACAAACAGTGATTGTGGCTGACACGGTCCTGGAGGGGGCTTCGAGTATATTTCGGCCTGACGAGCACCAGGGAAGGGAGAGGCAACCGATCTCCCGCCTTAAGCAGCCTGTGCTGAGCCAAACACCAGGTAGTTCCCTGGTATGTTCTTTGTTATTACGTTTTTAAAATATTCTCAACAAGTTTAAATGAAATGACATTAAAAAGAAAAAGATAAATCAATACGATTAGTTGTCTTAAAACTGACCTTCTTCATTTGTTGTTATCATTAATAAAACATTTAACTTTCTTAACCATGCATTCCTCTGACTATATTGCCGGCACACCAAGGGACGTCAAAAGTTTACTTCGGCACACCACTACCAAAAGGTTGCCTACCCCATGTCTAGAATATTTGACAGAGTCCTAACCTCAACATCTGAGGAAAAGGATTTAGGGGTAATTATTTCAGATGACTTAAAGGTAGTCAGACAATGTGATAGAGCAGCAGGAAATGCTAGCAGAATGCTTGGTTGTATAGGGAGAGGTATTAGCAGTAGAAAGAGGGAAGTGCTCATGCCATTGTGCAGAGCACTGGTGAGACCTCACTTGGAGTATTGTACGCAGTATTGGAGACCGTATCTCCAGAAGGATATTCATACTTAAGAGCGAGTTCAGAGAAGGGCTACTAAACTGGTTCATGGATTGCAGGATAAAACTTACAAGGAAAGGTTAAAGTAACTTAACATGTATAGCTTGGTGGAAAGACGAGACGGGGGGATATGATAGAAACATGTAAATACATAAAGGGAATTAACACAGTAAAGGAGGAGACTATATTTAAAAGAAGAAAAACAACCACAACAAGAGGACATAGTCTTAAATTAGAGGGACAAAGGTTGAAAAATAATATCCGGAAGTATTACTTTACTGAGAGGGTAGTGGATGCATGGAATAGTCTTCCAGCTGAAGTGGTAAAGGTTAATACAGTGAAGGAGTTTAAGCATTCATGGGATAGGCATAAGGCTATCCTAGATATAAGATAAGGTCATGGACTAATGAAAGTAGATAGAAAATTGGGCAGACTAGATGGGCCGTATGGTTCTTATCTGCTGTCATATTCTATGTTTCTATGTTTCAATACCTGATGCACTTTGCAGCTATCAAAGCTAAAATTAGAGTTCCTACCTGTTAGATCCTTAGCCTGTTTAGTTCCTGCCTCATAGCTCTGTTTTTGAGGGTTAGTAACCAATACATTGTGACCCTGGTAAAGGATCTATTTTGCATGGGACTGGATCAGTCTTTTAACTGACTAAGTTACTTTTGAAGACCACAGCCTGCTTCTTTTTTCAGAAAGAAAATGAACTGAAAATCATTATAGACAACATATGAACCAACAACGCACAAAGTTTGTCAGCAGTTGCAAAGACCAATAAGGTACTGCAATACATAAGACGCTATTACATAATGAAAGTACAATTTTATATCTTTGCAATTTGGTGTGCCTATTTTAAAGAAGGCTGTCATGGAACTGGAAAATGGGTAGATAAATGAATGATAATAAAATATTTTTTTTATTAGATTATCTATAAAACCTTAAATTGCTTACTTAAAAAAAGGTATTCTGCAAAATGCAAAGAAAATCATAATGTTACACAGATATATGCAAGGTCAGATAAAACAACTCTTCAGTAACCTGTTCATTAAAAGGACTGTGCAAAACAAAAAGAGGTTATCAATTAGAGTTGAGGCAAGGAGAGTTTGCTTAAGACATACAAAAGAGTTCTTTAAAGATAGCATAATAAAAATTGAAGTGTGTAACTAAAGAAGCAATTGTATCAGATTCTGTAGATTTTTTATTTTTTTAAGTTTGGACATTTTATAGGAATAAACATGAGTTTTCACAGATATAATGTTTAATATGCATTGTGTAGATCAGGTGAGACATTTGATTCAAAATAATATTTTACTCATTTTGTGGCACATCCTAAAATTGCTTTAAAATTAGTTTATCAATTTTCTTTTGAATTAAGCAGAAACAAGTATGTGAATGGTTGAACTTGATGGACTCTCCTGTCTTTTCCACCTAAACTGTGTTTATTTATATTTACTTGTCATTATTGATTACAATTATACACTTTAGAAAAATTATTGGAGTGCTCCTTTTTACTATATATAAATATAGTATATATATAGTGAAGTGCTCTTTTTTAACTATTTATATATAGTGGAGTGCTCTTTTTTTAAAACTATTTATATATAAAAAAAGGAGCACTCCAATAATTTTTCAAAAGTGTATAATAATATAATATATATATATATATAGTGTGTGTGTATATATATATATATATATATATATATATATATAGTAATAAATCCTTATATATTTAGTAAATAAAGAGCACTCCAAAGGATTTTTCAGAAGTGTATAATTGTAATCAACGTTTTGACCCTCCTGGAGCTTTATCAAGATTAATCTTTTGGAGTGCTCTTTTTTACCTTATGTATTTTTGCGCCAAGAAGCAATATTTGGACAAGTTCTGTTGTTGTTGTTGTTGTTATGATGCGTATATGTATATGAAAAGAGAGTAACAGGGTGCTAGGAAATGAGACAAATGCCATTAAGGGCATTTTGAGACAATAGAATAAACCACCAGACTGATGGTTGAATGCTTATAAATTTATCCAGAACCCTGGGATGACATCATTTCCCCATAAAGGATTTAGCATTATGTATCTCTTCTATTGAGATTTTTATGTTAGTGGGGGGAAATATTTACAGGGCTATTCACTAAAGTGAGATTTGCTGGGAATTTAAAGTTTATTTCAAGTTAATCAAGTCAAGTCAATTCAGTTCTTTTGCTTGGCTTTTTTGATCTTAAATTTGAAATTCCCTTTGGATTCACTATCAAGGTTATTCAGTAAAGTGAGAATTCAAAGTGAAATTAAAATTTAAACCAGATTAGCTGGACCAAAGACATAGTTGATATAGAGAATATTTTCAGTTTGGCTATTTTGAATTCACTTTGAAATCTTACGTGGTAAGTCACTGAACACAAGTTTTTGTCCTGATAGACCTACGGGAATGCCAATTTACATATTTACTAAAGCCAAATGCAATTGGAATTCTGTTAAACTGGGTGAATCTGCAACAATTGCAGAACAGTGTCTAAAAAAAGTATAAAATATTTATAAAGCACCGATTAAAAAAAATATAATTAAATTTATTTTTTTGCAAGTGAATGATAATTTTCCTTCTGTGAGTGCTAGTAATTAGTTAATTATGTGGTAGCTGGCCAGCACCTGCTAGACAGCCACCACATAGTTAACACTCACAAATAGTCCGTATTTTGGTGGGCAAATAGTCCGTATTTTTTAAATCTGGTCTGGATTTTAAGCGTATGGGCCTGAGTTTTAACAATCTAACACCCTGATTTCAGGTGTACTGCAGTGATCGGTCCGGCTAAATATGGACCAATTTCAGGCTCATTCTGCACCTGCAGTTCAAAATCCAGATGTTGCTAAATAGCGTGAACACTGTCCAGATATTGCAATCAGGATGGCCACGTACAATAATTGACGGTTTTGCCCAATTCAATACAGGGCCATTCATACTTTAGTTAATAGCCCTGTTATAATTTTCAGCGATTCTCACTTTACTGCATAACTCTGTTAGTGTAGTATGTTAGGGTATTGTAGAGGTTAACGTTTAGTGTGTTAGAGTGGGGATAGAGGGAGGTTTTACATACATGCTCCTCTGCTGCCTGAGATTAGTGAGTGTGTGACATATATGTAAAAAAGTGACTCTCTAAATAAACAATTCAATTTGAATGTACTGTAACTAATAATTCTTAAGCTCACAAAAAAAGCTGCAAAATAATACAAGCTGCCTCCACTTTACATATCTTTCCTGCCTTGTTCTCTTTTATGGACTATACTTTGCACATACATTCACAGGCTAGTTTTCTAATAGATCAGTCTGTTTTGATAAAACAAAATAATACTGTGGAATAATAATTAACTCCTGAGAGTTACAGATACAAATTTGTTTTTACAGCCAACACCTTGCCTCAATCCTGTACTGGTAGCTAAAACTGTCAGCACTAGTACAATTCATATATCAGTGCCTGCATGTTTGGGCACAAACTCCTCCAGCCTGTAACTTCCCATCAATATCCCGGGATTTCCAGCGACTCCAGGAGCCACTACCCCCATACAGAATGACTGCGCCCTGTGGATTGTTTCCGTAGTTGAAGTAAAGACTATGTTGCTTAATTCCCAGAAGGGTTTCATTAGTACAGACCCAGCTTAACACATTTTGGGAATCACATGGCAAGATTATCAAGGGAATAAGAGTCCGGGGAGTTCCCTTGACACCAACACATTGTCTTGCTTTTATGTTCAGTAGCTTTCCACCTGGGAACCAACGAAATAACTGGGAGGGGGAATCAGAGGAGCAGATGGAGGCTGTCATCTCAAGCTGATGTGATGATAAAGATGAAAAACGTATATCTGCACACTTTTTGCGGTCTTCATTATATAAAAGGAAAGAGCCTAGAGAGGAAAGAAAAAGGAAGTTGTACAAATGGTGTAAGTGGAAAGGAATTTCACACGATTAATATTAACACAATTTGCGGTTAAAAAAGAAAAGAAAAATATGGTTGTTCAGTTAAATTTGTGTGTATATATATATATATATTTCTAAGAGTGTCCCTTTAATTGTAGCATATGTCATTTAGAGTGCTAATGGAATAACTTAAACCCCTTAGTTCTGCACCAGTCTGACAGTTTATATAGTGTATCCTTCCATCCTGCTGAGGTCAATCAAGTAAGTACCATTATATTGGGTATTAATAACATTTAGGCTTCAGGATGTACTTGAAAATCACAAATTATAATAACAATTATGTCTATATTATTGTTATATTTCATTGAAACTGTGTGCTTTATCTAACCAGTGACCCATACGATATACTATCCAGTGCCACAATATAACCCTTTATTAATTCTACTTGCTCAACCCCCTTAAACTTCACTGAACAGTAAATACCCTTGACTTAGCTTAGAACAAAATCTTGTAACTGTCACATCCTGAAATATCTTAAGAATGGTAAGTCCTCTAACTCCCAATCAAGGTCTCTACTCACCAAGAGAGTCTACTATCTTCTGATCCTTCTTTAGAGTCTCTATTTCAGCCGTCATAGCGTAATCTGTAAAAAAGTGTGTTTTTTAGAGTTTAACCCTGCTGTGTGTGTCTATTATGATAACAGTGCTTTAAGCAAATCTATGCTTCTGTGTCACTCAATAAAACAAACAAACAGAAAACCAGTTTGCAAACATTCAAAACTCCATTCTCTATAATAGTTCTTTCAACTTGTACTTCCTGCTTCCACTTTTATGGTTAGTAAAATGCTAAATTGTCAAGAATTTACATGAATACTAGACTTGGGCACCACCAAACTTTGTTTCAAATTTTGTCAGTTTGTCAATTCATTTTCAAACAAAATTGTATTATTGTTTTCTTATTGGATTTGCATTTTGACGAATGTGTTTCCATTCGTGCAGCGGCTGCACCTTGCAGCCGTTTTGATGGATAACTCCCTAAATTAGTACCCTTGTGGGATTCACACTATATTTCAGGATACCAAATAAAGTAGCTGTTTGGTAGATAACTCATTTTCAAATTATTTGGTTTTTAATCTTTTTTTTTTTTACCCTCCCTTATACTAATATGTAGGTCACGTTGAAACCCATTGGGTGAAGGGGGCACAAGAGATTTTTAAATATTACAAGGAGAGAGCCATGAACAAGCAGCTCCTGCCATATAACAGACTAAAATCCAAGAATAAATTGCTAGTCAACATTTCCTCCAACAAGCAATTCAGTCTTCATTTTATTTGTTTTAGTTTATACTAATACATTTGTCTTTTGGACAAATAGCCAACAATTGGACTGAAATGTGTTCTTCCGAAAATGAATTTTCAAGTCTAATAATTACTTAATAAACATGGAAAACTGATTGTGACTGTACATTTTTGCCTTGTATTGTAAATGCGTACATTTAGCCAGTCCGGCTCCCAGCCCACAGAGAGACAGAATCAGCAACACCAGGAAAAAAAACACAACGCTAAAGAAAATCTTCAGTCTTGGTAACCTTCCTGTAATAGAGAAAAGTTAGTTTACTTTAAATAAAAATGTAATCTACATTGATTTTCTTGTAACCTAGTTTATATATCCAACTATTCAGCTTTGCTATACCTGCATTAAATAAACTTTCACATTTGAAAAAACAACCCAGTTTTTCCTTACAACTCATTTCGACCCAGTCACTCACGCAGTGCAACTTGATACCTCCTACCTATATCAAACTTCTGTGTTTCCATACTTTGGAAGGTCAGTCCCTTTTTGGTCCAAAATCCCCTTGTCCCTCTATTCTATCCTCATGTTCCTCTTCTAGGAGCTTCACATTGTTGTTGTTGTCTCAGTGTATAATAGAGTTGCACAGCAATAATTCTCAGTTATCATTAAACTACAATTAATGCTTTTAGAAATCAGTCTGTGTAAATAAGATACATTGTTCTTTTCTAAATTATATTTTATTTGCTTAAACTGTTATTAGTAAATCACCCAAAATGTTTCAGAATAGCTCCACGCTGGCCATACCCACACTCACACTCTTAAAAATGAAGTGTCTATTCAACATTGGAAATGTTGAGAGGTATGATCTATGAATTGTAACTTTACTGAGCAGAACCACACAAGAGGCTTTTTATGATCCTGTGCATGGATTGAAGCTTTGGGGGGCAGTTCAATAGGCTATAGTGGTGGGTACTGGAACACGAATTAATGCTATATTAAAACGTATCTCTACTCAAATCACACACTGCTTGCAGTTTCATTCACAGCTTGTACCAATTGCATGCACCTCATCCTTGGTACAACTTGACAATGCCGCAATCAGGTTATGTGGGAAGTGTTGGTGGCAAAGAGTGATAGGGGGTTGAATGGACACAGTAATGATCATGATGTTTGCATAATAAAATGAGTGAGTAAGGACAGACACACAAGGGAATGAGGAATTTAGGGCATACAAACAAGGAGGTGAGAGGATTAGGAGAAACACACAAGGCGTAGAACAAATATTAAATCAGCCCATGTGCCAAATAACATATGTAGAAACCTCTGGCTTGACTCCAATTAATCTACCTGTTTCTGTTGAATACTGTCTCCAGGAATGTCCTGACTCTGATCCACAGCTTTTGATGTTTGGCAATTTCCACCTGGTATCCTGAGACTTTTCTCGCTCCCCCACTGGTTCATATATGCTCTCCTCCTGAAGGTATACATTACTCTCCTCTAAAAAGAAAAAGTGTGTGACCATGTATGATTGGCACAGGTGTTTGAGACATGCAAAATGTAAGAAGAAAAATTTACATTTGAGACTTACAGATAATATTAAAGGGACAATTGAGGCATCAATCCAAATGTAATGTTTGTAAAAATAAAACCAATGTAAATTTGGTATCTACTGTGAAGCATTCAACTGTGAATTTCCTGAAATATATGCAAATTATTTGTCTATGAAATACAGACATCATATTTTCAGATTGTAATTTCCACATTGACCTCCTTAGTTTTTGTTCTGCTGCTAAGAATTCTGGGTAGGAATATGCATTTAAAATCTATTAACAGCACCTTCAGAACGAGTAACATCAGTATTTACTTTATACTTAGACCACTTTAGTAAATTTAGTCTTAACAAGACAGCTGAATAAATATAAAGTTAGATTTATCAAGGTGTACTGTTATAAAATGTGGTGCTAAAATGTGAAAGGGGAGGAGTCATCAGTAGAATGCAAATCACCGTATTAATAGTAAAGTAGAGATAAAACTCCATCATAACCTTACAATAAGCATGTTATTTTGTTTGACAATTTTGAATCTATCTGCTGTTAACCACTCCACTACAGAAATTGAGTTAAAACATTTTTATTTTCATGTATTTTGCAAAATGAAATATAGTCCATAAAGCCTCACTCTAATTTAAAAAAAAAAAAAAGGAGTGTAATGCACAAACTAAAAAAGTTTGTTCACGCTCAGACTCGGACTTGTCTGGCACCCATCAGGTCCCTCCCTCTCTGACAGTGGCTGGCTCTGAAAAGATTTTAAGACTCCTATGTCCACATGGATGTGATGGTCAGGGCATGTTTGCATGCACATTTCTGATCATCCCTTTTGGATTAATTCTTAGGGTATTTAAACTTAATTTGAAATTTTCTCAGTGCTCTGTCATGGTTTCATTGTGGTTATCCGAAAGCGTGATTCTTGTTTATTTTTGACCTTGGCTTGTTTATTTTTCTATTCTGACTTATTTATCCCTTGACATTTGGCTTGCCTACCGTTTATGTACACTCTGTTTCCCTTACCTCAGCCTGTCCTCTATTATTAGACAAGCAGACAAAGGAACAGGTAGAGTCAAAAATAAGCAATACATGTATAAAACAAAATAGGATTTTAACTAATGAAAATAGGTTACCAGAACACAAAATTAATATTATTAGAGAAGGTATCAAGATAATTTTAAACAACAACCTTTTCTGGTTTTTAGATTCGTTCTATCTTCAAAAACAAGGTACAGCAATGGGCATTAGGTTCACCCCAAGTTACCCCAATTTATTTTTGGATGATTAGGAATCCGAAGCTATTTGTGGTGATCATACTTGGCGAGCAAACCTAGTGTCATATTTCCACTACATCGATGATTTGTTTTTTGGAATGGCTCAGAGAGTTCTCTTAATGTGTTTTTAAACCATCTTAACTTAAATGATAGTGGCATTATTTTAACTCATGAATATAGTAAAGAAAAAATAAATTTTTTAGATCTCCAAATTTACATAAAGGAAGGCAATTTCTACACAAAAACCTTTTTTAAAAAAGAATGCACAAATACGGTCATAGACCAGACCAGCTGCCACTACGCCCACTGGTTCGAAAGCGTTCCTAAAAGCCAATTTATTTGTTTAAAAAGAAATTGCTCTAACAAAGATGATTTTGAAAAACAAAGCTCCTCACTTAACGATACATTTTTAGAAAATAAATTCCAAAGAGGAAAAACGACATACTATTATCAAACAAGTTAACACTATAGACAGAGACAACCTGTTAACATACAAAGAAAAAAAAAAAAAAGACTGCACCATCCATCCTTATAATATTTGATTTTAATAATAGGAATAAACAAATTAAAAGAATAATAAATAAACACTGGCACATCTTACAACAAGATGATACCTTAAGTAAAATTATTCCTAACAAACCAAATATTATTTTTAGAGGTGCCCCTAATTTTAAATCTACATTAACAAATTTTTTTACTAAAAACAAAAAAAATTAAAGTTCAACTTTATCCAATGTTAAAGGTTTTTATAAATGTAGAAAATGTATTGGAAAAAATGGGTAAGGGCTGCACTAAAATACAGTAGCCTATACAGTAAAAACCAGACCAAGTGGTCTAAATGAATAGACAACAACAAGTAAGCCTATATAATAGATAAAAAAAATCTCTATTAAAACAACAGAAAAAAAATGTAATAAAACAAAGTCCATCCAAGTAGCAAAATGTTCAATAGAATAAAAATAGATAAAACGTCTCACTGGTATAACTGGATAGAGTATGTGTACAATCCTCAGGAGTTGATCCGTCAGGGTTGTAAATAATCTGTATATGTGAAGACAAGAATAAAACACGACAAACTGCCAATAGTGAAATATTGTAAATCCAAGGATAAAATAAATAAAAGGAGGATAGTACACTCACAGGAGCTTAGGCCAGCTCTAGGATGGAGGGCGTTTAGCGGTATGATCCCCGCTAAGGGATATACTGGAGAAGTGTGTCTGTCAGTGCGGCCTTGGTTACGTCGTACTCCACAATATATATAAAAAACAGCAATAGTGCTCTCAGTTGGAATAAATAAATAAAATAGATAAAATAAAATATACTCACAAGTGTAGAGCAGAAAATACTGCTCTATTAACACAGCACTGGTGGAATGATCCCCACCTATGGATTTCTTGAATCAGGATACAGTAAAAAAGCCAGGAAAAGTAACAATAAAAAGTGTATATAAAATACAATAAAATGAATAGGAGATTGGTCCTATAAAAAAGGTAACCAAAAATGGTAGTATAACAGTATACCTGGCATGAAACAGTATTTATAAGAATATATAATGATTGAAATTGGCGCCAAAAAACGGATCCACCAATTACAAACAAGTAAAAAATATCCTAGGAAAAACTGAAATGGAATGGGTCTACAAGTTACAGACCCTCACACCTCATGGTTTAAATGCAGACTTTGATCTGTATAACTTTTTATGAATATGCACACCATCAACACTATTTGTCACAAATTTATTATGGAACTCCCTATCTGTTAATTTTATTCTCTTTTTCTTATATGTATGTTTTAAGTCTTTTATGTAACACATCAATATGTTTAAAATATATATTTTTTTATGTATTTTATGTCTTTTGTGCTTTTATATCATTATTACCCTTTATTCATATTAAGTTGTATATTTTCTATAGATTTTTATATATATGCACTTTTTATATAAATTCTGGGGCAGTAATTAGAGTCCTTATTCATATTTTTATTTTATTCCGACGGCACCAATTTTCCTACCGCCATTTGGTATTTTGGCCCTTTTGGACACACTTATTTAACTACTCCACTTGTGGGAGCGGCTGGCTATTAATATCTGGAGCAAGCCGCGAGCCGCCCCTCCTCCTATGCGCACGATGACTGGCATGACTACACTTCCCATGGAGCTTAGCTCCAAATCATGCTGGTCACGTGCTGCTATGCTGGGAGTGGCTTGCTACCACTGTTACGAGCGAGCCGTTCGCCGCCCTCCCTTATTTAACTACATTTCCCATGGAGCTCCGCTCCAATTATTTGGATTTACAATATTTCACTATTGGCAGTTTGTCGTGTTTTATTCTTGTCTTCACGTATACGGATTATTTACAACCCGGACGGATCAACTTCTGAGGATTGTACACATACTCTATCCAGTTATGCCAGTGAGATGTTTTATCTATTTTTATTCTATTGAACATTTTACTACTTAGATGGACTTTGTTTTATTACACTTTTTTCTGTTGTTTTGACTTTTTTATCTATTATATAGGCTTACTTGTTGTTGTCTATTCATTTAGATCATTTGGTCTGGTTTTTACAGTATAGGCTACTGTATTTTAGCGCAGCCCTTACCCATTTTTTCCCATTTCTAGTCTTATTAAGGGTCTTGAGGGATTCCCTTTTTAGGGTTGCTGCTTACATTCCTGTTATCTAGCGCAGACTCTTCTCCCTTGTTTTTGTAGAAAATGTATTACATGCAAAATAACACAGGGATTAGTTCGAAATAAAACCACTGATTTTATCTCTAATATCACAGACACACACAAAAAAAAAAAAATATATATATATATATATATATATATATATATAAAAATAAGTGATTTTATTACTTGCAACACGAAAATGTGATTTACCTTCTGGAGTGCCCATGTGGCCTCCATTATGTTGGCATGACCTTCAGAAGCCTCAAGACACAAATAGCAGAGCATTGTCATAATATCAAAAATGGCAATCTCAATCACACAGTAGCAAAACATTTCTTAATACACCCAAAAAATCCAGATTGTCTTAAATTTACAGGCATATAGAAATGCACTATTCCCTGGCATGGAGGAGACATTAAAAACATTCTAGGACTCAAAGGAATGGAGTGGTTTTTCAAATGGACTAACTGCAGACTTTGATCTTTTACATTTTTTATGATTTTTTTAAAAAATATGTCTTTTTATTTAAGGTATTGTCTATATACATCTGTCCACTATTCTCTTGTATACACGAGTGGTAGTACAATTTCATAGTATGGGTCTATTCACATATGATATAACTGTGGTTATTTATGCATTCTAAAGGGGCAAAGTAGGTGAAGCGATTTGGCAATAGTAAGATAATATCCAAGAGGTAACGTTGAATTAGATCACAATAGATAGGGGGAGTCGGACCATGTATATATATATCAAGGCAATAGGTAGATAGAATGGCTAAAGGAAGGGAAAGGAGAGGGAGGACTTGTACTATCATATTTAAGAGCTGAAGGGATATGTTGAACAGAACTAGAATAGCAATTTATTGTAATATGGTTTTTTAAACCAATGCGATCCTATATCCTAGACAAACAGACTTATCTATTGAAGAGTATAGTACTAAATAAAGGTCGGATTTTTGGAATATTGTTTGGTCTCTGATGAGGTCTGGAGAATTTTTTTTTTCTTTTTTTTTTTTTCTCTCCTTATTAGTGTTTTATTTCTGTAATTATAGGTAGGTCCGTTTAGGTAGATATAAGTTCACAGGTCTCCTTATTTTGCTTCTTCCTGGGATACGTTCCATATTTCATATTATATCTTGGAATTATAATGACTGAGGGAAGGGAGAGGAGAGGGAGATTAGTACTATTATAATGGATAGCTGCAAAATACATCAAGTAATGTCAGATTAGTAATTCATTGGGTTATTGCTCTAGGGGCTAGTGTGGTCATATATCCCAGTCAAGGTTGACAGCATTGTGGAGTGCCCTTTGACCGACTATGGGCTAGATACTTGGAATGCCGTTTGGTTTCTGAAGAGTTTTGAGGCCTTCCTCCTCTCGCCAGGGTCTCTATTCCTGCAATTATAGGCAGGTCTTGCTCAGGGGGCTCCATATACATATGTGTATATATATATATATATATATATATATATATATATATACACACATACACACGTTTCCCCACTGGATTACCAAGAGGTGGTTTGTTCCCCCTCTTGAATTATTTTGTATGTTTTATGTATCTTACAATGTAAATGTGTATTCTTTTTTTTGTTTCTGTTTTTTGTTTTTTGCTTTTCTGAGACTCGATTTGGGGTGTAATCAGGACAATAGGTGTTATGATGGCACTTAATGTGATATCATGGAATGTCCAGGGTTTGAACTCACCACAGAAAAGGGGAGCAGTCTATACATTTCTAAATGGAAATGATATTGATATTGCTTTTATTCAGGAGACACACTGGATTAATCCCCCAGAGAGACTCTGGAAGTTTAAGAAATTCCCGTTGATATTTTCCTCCAATATGGAGGGGAATAAAAAAAAAAAGAGGCACTGCTATCATAATCTCTAGCAGAATTAATTTTGAAATGATACATCTAACTGGGGATCCAATGGGAAGATATCTGATACTCATCACAAAAATTAATGGTATTATATATACTTTGGTTAATATTTATGCACCAAATTGGTGTCCAGGGGACTTTTTGGATAAAACTATGGAAAAGGTTAATGAATTAGCATGTGGTAACATCATAATTGGGGGAGACTTTAATAGTGTATTGGACCCAGCACGGGATAAAAGCCATAAAAATGTTAGAGATTATAAATTTGTAAATACCTATGTTTCTGATTTTTCTAAATTTCTAGATAGGAATTCTCTATTTGACTGTTGGAGGACTTTGAATCCTAGTTTGGGTTTTTGAGTTCTATTATTAAATCCAATATTGGATCCATAGTTGTATCAGATCATGCACCAGCATTCATTAAGGTTAAGTTAAAAGGTGGTCTTAGACCAAGGACAAGGTGGAGACTTAATGAAAGCCTCTTGA